TCCTGCTGGACAGGCGAGGTTTTCGCTGTTGCGTGCAGCCCAACAGATGCCACATTAGTGGCATCTGGCAGTGAAGATGAAAAAGGTTTTCTTTGGAAGATTGGTAAAGGAGATTGGGCTTTTGAGCTTAAAGGTATGAACATGACAGAACAGCTGCATGCTGCTCTCCTTTGTTCATTGTTGTTCGTTTCCAAGTAGCCTGCTTTGTCTTTTTGCCCCTATGCTATTTATTAGCTAGATTATTATTTGTCCAATTTTAAGATCTTGTGCTCACTTTGCTGCATTTGTTCCTCTTTGATGCTCATCTGCAGGCCATAAGGATTCTGTATCTAGTTTGGCCTATAGTACTGATGGGCAAATGCTCGCGTCTGGAAGTCTTGATGGGATTATTCAAATATGGGACATTTCCTCGGAAAACCTAAAATGCACACTTGATGGTCCTGGAGGGGGTATTGAGGTGAGTTTACAAGGCTGTATTAAATGGCATCTTTATTTTGCTTAATCTTTGTTAAATTGAGTTTGGGCAATGTGACTTCTCAGTGGGTCAGGTGGCATCCTAGAGGGCATCTTGTCTTGGCTGGTTCTGAGGATGCTAGTGTTTGGATGTGGAATGCTGACAAGGGTGCCTATCTTAATATGTTTTCAGGTCACGGTGCTAGCGTGACTTGCGGTGATTTCACTCCTGATGGTAATGACATAGCTCTTGACCTTGATTGTTTATCCTTATTTTATGTATTCACGTAGTCTTATTTCTATTTGTTTTCCAAAATGATATTATTACAAATCTCATTTATGTTATTTGTATTTATGTTTGTTGTGCTGGTCATTCACAGGCAAAACAATATGCACTGGTTCTGATGATGCAACTTTAAGGATATGGAATCCAAGAAGCGGTGAAAACATTCATGTCGTTGGAGGTATGTACTTAAATTTTCTTTTAAAATTTTTTTATTTCCTTTTCCTTCGTAGTTGAAGTAATTGAAGATTGAAATGTGTGCAATTTGTCTGAAATTGGCTTTAGTTCATTAGACTTTGGGTTCTTCTGCAAATTTAAGATGGCTAAGGTTGCCTTGTGATTGTAGATTTTATATTGTAAATCCAGGAATTTAGACGACCTATTTTAGTTTATATTTTTGGAGAATACTTGCATCTTTGAAGATACTGTTTATGACTGTTAGAAATTCAAAAGTTCTGCAAAAGCCTGACAAGGCCAAAATGAATGTCCTGAAGATTGATGATTCCAAATAAACCATTCCGTGGTTGTTACTTGTTTAGGATAGCAACTTCTAGTTATATCAGCTAAATTAACTTTTAAAATTTTTCTTCTCTCTTTGCCTTCTTTTATGCAGACCATTAGCATTACCCAATACTTGTTACTAATGGTAGTTAAGTGAACTTGTTAATTATTTTCCTGATGGCATTGGTCTAATCTTCTTTCATCTTTCTCCGTTTCAAGCATTTCATTATTTGTTGCTGGTTCCTGGTGCTATCAAGTGAACTAGGGAATTCTTTTTTGTGATATTTTTCGTGATTAATAAATTTTTCATACTTGGTTTTGGTCTTATTTGCCATCCTTGATCCTTATTCTTCTGCAGGTCATCCATATCATACCGAGGGATTGACATGCTTAGCAATAAGCTCAGATTCGACTCTTGCCCTTACTGGTTCAAAGGATAACTCTGTCCACATCGTAAACATTACAAGTGGAAAGGTATTTTCTTTTTCTTCCCCCCTCACCTCGCAATTCCACTGACAAACAGCCATTTTACTAAAGATCAAACAACATGATGTAGAACATTTTATTTTAGTTTCTACATTCTGAGCACTCTGCATGGCTATAGAATTACAGTCATTCAATGCTCGTCTACCTTTAAATGCCTTAGTGAATTTTAGAAGCCTGGATTTTTACATACTTAAGAAACTTAAATGTACCCGCACTTAAAAATATCCTACTATGTTTGCTCTAGCAAGAACAATCAAGTCTTTTTGTCTATTTGTTGCGTCTTTCTTGTTTATCTTAATTTTAAACCTTAGGTCATTGAAGTGGTCAAGATATGATCTCATGGGCCACACTCCTTTCTTATAGTGCAACAGTTTTTCCTTAGTTAATTTGCACAATTTATGTCTGCATATATGAAGACGCATTTGCATATAATTTGGTGTTTGTTGTTGCTATATCTTCAAAGTTGTTTCGGTTGGTTTTTTAGTAAGCTCTTCGTAGGCCTCTAAAACAGTCTTGCATGGATGTGGCAGGTTGTTAGTTCCCTGGATTCTCATGCAGATTCAATTGAATGCATTGGGCTTGCAACAGGGTACTGTCAAAATCATAAGATCTCTCTTTCTCTCTCTCTGGTTTCCCTTTTCTATTGATGATGAAAGATTATGAAAGAAGTTAGGGAGATTTAAATTTGTTAGTAATTACGGATTACGACTTACCAAGTGGAGCCTAGAATTCTGATGAGCTCTCTCCATGACATGCAGACACATTATGGTATCTTTTTGTACGTAGGATCAAGATAATAGGGATAGAATCTAGATTCGAGAGACGGAACCAAGAAGCATAATAGAACCACTAGATAGAGAAATATAACGAAAGAGAGATAACACAGGATTGAAGAAGAACAAGAATTCAAGAGGAAATTTGAAACTCAATATTCATTCATTAACAAAACTACTATGGTTGCAGGCGTAGCCTAGTAGTAATTTTATACCTAACTCCACCACAAGGTGTAGAGTTTGAATCTCCCCATCCAAGTTAAAAAAATAATAATAATAATTAATTATTATAAAATAATCCTAAATTGAAAATACAACCACTAAGGTATTTACAGAGAAATAAAAGTAACACTAAGATAGGCTTCACTAAATTTTAAATAAGCTAAAAGACAAATATTTCTGAAGTTCATATATACTAAAATTAACTAATTTCTAATCTACATCTTAGGCTGTCCAGACGTCCTATTCCAGATTTTATGTGCATCGGTTAATCTGAAGTGTTTCTTAGAGAATGCAAGACAGGTAGCTTTGAGCCAAATAAAAATAGTTTTGCAAATTTGGAGAAATAAAAAGCCATATACAAAAGCTGTTAATTTTGCTCCATCATCAAAATAAAGCTGCTTTTCCCGAGTAGTACACTTTTGACGTTATGTTTATCTCAGTTCCCCTTGGGCCGCTACGGGAAGTATGGATCAGAAGCTTATTATATGGGATCTGCAGCATTCCGTACCTCGTTCTACATGTGACCATGAGGTTTGTTGTTCATTTCATTTCTTGTGAAATTGAGTATTGTATTTGCATATTCTTTCTTGGCCTTGGGTTGAATTTTTGTGATTGGATCGGATTGTTTGGACATACAAATCTCCTTTACTGGTGTGACTAACAGAGTGAAGCTCTAAATTGTGGACAGGATGGCGTAACTAGCTTAGCATGGCTTGGTGAATCTAGGTTCCTAGCAACTGGTTGTATGGATGGGAAAGTACGACTATGGGATTCTCTCTCCGGTGAGTGTGTAAGAACCTTCAGTGGCCACTCAGCTGGTGTTCAAGGTATTTCTGTTTCCGCCAACAGAGATTACCTTGTTTCCGCATCTTATGACGGAACGGCCCGAGTTTTTGAGATTGCAGAATATAAATAAGCAATAGATTATTAGAAGCCTGCATGCTTTGTAAGCGATTCAAACCGTCCAAAAGTTGCTCGTTGTATGTTTTCCTTGAAGAATGTATTCGTTATGCTTTTCCGATGCTACATTGCATTGTAAATTAGTTCCTTCATTTTCATGGCTTTACATAGGTATCTTTTCTTTTCTTTGCTATTTTTCTTTAGTACAAGAATGCCACTGCCACATGGTAAATTGTCAATTTTCATAGAAACTAGATATTGATTTTGGATTGGCAATTTGATGTATCTTTTTTTTTTTTTTTTTTTTTTTTATTTTGCTTAGTTTCGTAGTGTTGTAGATTTTGAAAAAATTGCTTTTAGCTATACTAAAGAAAGAAACAACTATTACAAAAAGCAGCTGTTATAGTAGCTGTGCTGGTTCTAAAATCAGTGTAATAGCGTTTGGTAAATTATGAGGTTGAATTGTTGTGGATAGTTAAAAATTATGATTATATTATATTATACTATAATATAATATATATAATTACAATATAATATTTAAAATAATAATTGAAA